TCTCCTTCCTTCTCCATCTCCTTCCTTTCCCCTTCAATTTTCCTTCCTTCCTTTCCCCTTCAATCTCCTTCCTTCTCCATCTCCTTCCTTTCCCTTTCAATCTTCCTTCCTTCCTTCCTTCCATCTCCATCCCTTCCCCTTCAATCTCTTTCTCCTTCCTTCCTTCCTTCCTTTCCCCTATCTCCTTCCTTTCCCCTTCAATCTTCCTTCCCTCCCTCCCAACATTTTTGAGCAAGGAAAGGTAAGCTTCTCCATCGAGCATTGCTATATTGTTTTTGTGATTAATCACTATGCTTTAATTATGTTCAATTCGTAACAATGAAAATACACCCTGCATATCAGATATTTACATTACGATTCATAACAGTAGTAAAATTACAGTTATGAAGTAGCAACGAAAATAATTTTATGGTTGGGGGTCACCACAACTTGAGGAACTGTATTAAAGGGTCGCGGCATTAGGAAGGTTGAGAACCACTGCCCTAAGTGATCTATTCAAACATGGGCAGATGCCTGCTTTAAAGAAGTACAATTTTTTTCATTTCAAAGTTGGAAATATGGGATTTGTAAAAAAACATTATTGCATGGACTTTCTAAGTTCTAAGAACTTATTTTTAATTTCCTGTGTTTGTTTTGAAGCAGTGACCTGAGTACTAGAACAATTAATGCAGCATGAATATAAGAAGGTTCTTATATTCTTTTTTTAATTCTTTTTGTTCATAATTTTCTTTATATTTCAATTTACTTTAGAGCCTTTAAAAGTCACATGCTTTAGTATACCCTTTGTGCATAGCTTTTTGAGGAAATAGGAACACGTGGCTTCAAGGGAATGCTTTATTATCCGGGTCCACTCAAAACATTTACCTATTGATTACCATTTTTTTACTGTATAAATCAGCTTTGGTGGGGTTCATATAAACGCTACCCCCAAATCCCACGTTACCGCATCGCTGCTTAGTGCGTTGTGTAAATAGAGTACTGAGCATTGCATTGTCTTTATTCCAATTTACATGCATAGTTTGCATTCGTAATTTTGGAATTCTTTGCCCTAATTTACCTTTCATTCTGTTTGATGTGTTGCTGCTGGATGCTAAAACAACAAAAGGGGCTCAAATTTGCATTGTTTTGTCGGTTAGACAGCTACTACGTGGCCTGGGATCTGCGAATTCAATCTCGCCTGCAAGGTTTCATTCTCCAACACCAGCAAACAAAACTCCGCATTACTAGTTTCGCCTATGGGTGGGGGGTGCGTTCTCATGGAAACAAGACGTCCAGCACCGCCCTAATACGTCATCAAGGCGCGACACGCACAATTACCTTCTGTTTAGTATGGCTGAGGCCGTGGAGTCTGGTAAAGAGGATGGTCTTCTGCCCGTTGTCTCTTCCCCCTCTTCCGTTGAGTCTTCTGTCGTTGCTATAGAAGTGGCGGAACGCCAGGAGAGAGAACCAGCCGGTATCAAAGAGGAAGTACAGCTTGTAGAGGTGAGGAGGGGAAAAGCTTGCAACCCAATTTATTCGCAGAAACGGGGCTTCGCTTTCCTTGCTGATCCTCTTGCTGCACCGGAGTAACGGGGATTTTCTTTGCCTGCTATTTCCTTGGAATTCCGTATTTAACTAGAACTAGAAACTCGTGATCCCTTTTAGAGGTTTTTTCCTTAGCAGATTCCTGGATACCTTCAACAGTGACGGAGCTTTTAATTTACTGCCTTCATTGGAAAGGCTGGAATGCATTGAAAGATCTATCTTCAAAACAGCCCTTACTGAACTGTACAGCACAGTCAAACATCAGCACAGGAAATTTTATGACATTTTATGTAATAAGCTGTTTGGGATAATTTTTATGTCATAAAATATGTTATACAATTTGCCTGATTTCAGTTCCACTGGAGTTATGGGTCCGAGATTTTGAATGCATTCTCTAAGTTAGACCATAGATAGCTTGGTTCAAACGTTGTTGTCCTATGATGCGCTATTTCCAGGTTTTGGACACATTCTGTAAGCTAGCCCAAAGCAATTTACTTTGGTTCAAAAATTAATTCAGTTAAACAGGAATTGGAGTTTTAGTTATATATAGGTAGAAGATAGCTGCTGTTTCCTGGTGAATTTTATTTATCTTTTAGACTATTGTGTGTATATCTACACAGTCATAGTCATTTAGATCCTGGAAACTCATTTCCCTATTTGGATTCTTGTGGCATACAATGAATACAAAATGTTAGAATATTTTTTTCCTCATCTTTATTCTGCATACACAAATATTAAATGCTGCTGGTTGCGTTTTGAGTTGTTCATTATTCTTCTGAAGAAAGATTTAACCTATGTTTAACAAGTTATACTTAAAAATGGTAATGCAAAGCATGGCATTGTAAAAGACTGATCAGCTCAAGACTTTTCAGTAACATGTATAGGAAGAGACTAAAACATGAAAAATAATACTGAGTATTCATTTTATTTCTTTAGCCACTGTACTACGCTTACTACGATTCTAGCATAAAATCAGATATTATATCCACTAATTATTTTCATCAGATTTTTCACTTTCCCTCATTATTTGAATTATAACTGGTAAGTATAGTTTACAGAAGGTGCACAAATATATAAATTATCAGCATTAAAGAGGATAGGAATAATAGTTAAATATTCAAACCTTGTATTATTAAGTTGCGGACCTTTATGTTATGTATCATGCATGTAGTATGATGGAAAGATTATAAAAACTAGGTGTTCAAAAGCTGTACTTTATAAGTACAGTTATTGGATGCTTAAAATCAAAAAAGTTTAAAAGCAATCAGGAAGTAGTGTCAAGCCACTTTTGTTTTGCTTCATGAACATCAGCTAACTAGGAGTTGAGCTTGACTCAGAGAAAGCTTGTCTTTCTGTAAACATAATTAAGTTATAATCAATTTTCTGTCTAGATTAAATGCAAAGAATTGATCGCCGGAGAGTTAGAGGACTCTACATTACAATCTATTGCAGCCAAGAAAATAGAGATAAAGGAGAAAAAAGAAAAAAAACATAAAGTTGATGAAGATGAGATTCAAAAAATGCAGTGAGTATTTCTCCATCTACATGCTTTGTTAATGCTAAATGAGTAGAGAAAAGGTGTATCCTGTTGTTTTGTCTTTAGGAAGGCAAGCTATGTTTTTTTCTGTCAGGGATTTTCAGAAATTAAGACTGTCTACTGGACACTTTATGGAAACTGTTTAGGGCATGGGTATCAAACTCGCGACGTCACATGATGTGTCGCGACATATCGTAACTTTTTTCCCATTGCCGGCAATGGGGTGGGTGCGGTTTTGGCATGACGCATCCGGCCCATGGGTCAGAAGTTTGACACCCCTGGTTTAGGGAACATTCAATGTGATGTCAGGTATTTTGTCATTTCTTTTTTCTTCTGTTCAATTTTGTGTGATTCTCAGGGATTACTTAGACAAGTATGAGCTGCAGTGTCTAGACAAGTCCCTGCAGTTTTCTTGCAAGGTTTTTCAGAAGTGGTTTGCCATCGTCTCTTCTCAGAACTGAGAGAAAGTGACTAGCCCAAAGTCATTCAGCTGGCTTTCTGCCTAAGGTGGGATTAGAATTCATAGTCTCTCATTCCTAGCCTGAAACCCTAACCACTACATCAAACCAGCTCTCTCAAAAAAGGCAACTCCCCGCATTGGCTGGGAATCAAACGCAGGGCTCCCACATGGCAGGCAAGAACTCTACCATTGAACTACCAGTGCAAAGCTTTTTTTTTGGGGGGGGGGGGGTTCAATCATTTATAGGTAATTATCAACTGGCATTAAGTTGTACTTTCCTCTTCGGACTGTTTTTATTAACTTGCATATATGCATTTTCCCTTTCCAAAAAGAAAAGATTTTGTAGAGTGAATTGCTTTACAACTTCCTCACTTAGCTAAGAAACTCCAGTTCCAATTGCGGTCATAATTCAAGGACTATATTATTTGCAATATGTTCCAGTTAATTATTCTATGGATGCATAATTTTAATACGGTAAAAATACATATACAAAAGGTTCTTTGGGGGTTCTCCATAATTTTTAAAAGTGGGAACCATGTTTAAGAAGCACTGCAATAGGAGATATGTTGGCTTTTTTTCCTATTTTTTCCTGAAACCCAATGGTTTTCTGTGAATGGGACCTTATCTAGACATTGTGGGAAGTTGTACTGGAAGGCATCTAGGCTAGGAAAAATGGGCAAAGTCACCCTCCTTTAACTAGAACGTTTAGAGCAAAATTCAGGAAATATCACCACTGAAATAAAATGCTAGATTTAACTCAGTGTTTATCAATGGAATGTTACACAATCTTACTAACTTTCTCACTTTATAATTTTAAATAAGCGCTGTAATTATTGTTTGCCACAGAATCCTGGTTTCTTCTTTTTCTGAAGAACAGCTAAATCGATATGAGATGTATCGACGATCAGCTTTCCCTAAGGCTGCTATTAAACGGGTAAGATTGATTTGCATGTGTTGATTGGTTATTTGTTGGTTATTTATAACAACCAAGCTCAAAGAGCACTAAGGACCCCAGTTATTTATCGAATTTAGAAACCGCCCATCTCCCTCCCAGATTTGTTGATGTGTATTGATTATTATACACGAATAGACTTATCTCACTTTCAGTTTACCATAAAATTCTGCTGCCGATACTGAGGTGGGAAATTCACACGTGTCCCCGGGATTACCTCTGCAGCCTTTCAGCACCTCAACTCTGAGCTGTTGAAAATGGTTGCCTTTTTTTCACTTTGGAATGTGAAATTCTGAATTTTCCTTTTAAAAAGTGGGAACTGGAGATGGTTTCTTCCACTCCTATCCTTAAAGCCTTCCATTTCAATAGTACAGTATTTAGCTCTAGGGCAGTGTTTCTCAACCTTGACAATTTTAAGGCATGTGGACTTCAACTCCCAGAATTCCACAGCCAGCAAGCTCTAGGGGTTTTACTGGAGTTTTAAGGACTTAAGTAGGAGTGGGTTTGCTTTCTAGAGACTTTCTATTCCCATTCTCATTCAAACCTCAGAAAGCATTAAAAAGTCCTTTCCAGTGATTTCACCATCCATGGGGTTACGCTACCTGTGGTTTCCAGATGATATGGAGAAATGAGTTGCATCCCTGGGAAAGCTGCCCACCTCTGTGCTCATGCTATTGTTCACAGTAATGTTCAGGATTGGAAGTAAAAGAAGTATCTAAAAAATGGGGTTCTCTGGAATTGCCTCTCCTCCTTTCTCAGCTGATCCAGTCCATTACTGGAACCTCTGTGTCTCAGAACGTTGTTATTGCCATGTCAGGAATTTCTAAAGTCTTCGTTGGAGAAGT